TCAGAGACAAGAACATTTCTTATCAAGCTCACTGCTAGCAGCGTCTGCCTAATGATATCATCTTCTGTGGAACAGTCCGCACATCAATAACAGGCGTTCGCTATGAGCCGCACAGCACACGACTCAGATGATGAGACCTGTGCTCTGTAATAGACTGCACTGTGAGCTGCTGCTGCTGCTGCTGCTGCTGCTGCTGCTGCTGCTGCTGCTGCTGCCATTCAGAGTGAGAGTGTTTTTTAAATTGATGTAGAGAACAGAACTGAGTGAACGTGTACAGATGCAGCGCTGCAGAAAAATTGGCTTTTTCTTACACAATGGGGAAGAAATAGATTATTTGACAAAAGAACATTTCTGTGCAAAGTCCAGTTTCATATTCCTGATATTGTAACATACTCCATGTATGTGTGTTATATATTTCACATTCAATTGTTACCTAGAAAATAAAGTAGGACGGATTCCTCCTTTCTGCCATTATCACAGGATATTTTTAAAGTTCAACTAACATCCATGAACACCAAAGTTAAAAACTCACAAAAGATAATCTTCCAAACTAAATCCTACAAACCAGGCCGCTGTCCAATGACAATCTCAGGCCTTGTGTTTGACCTCATTGATAAACCGCAGGTATAAATGTGAATGTCAATGGTTGGTTGTCTGTCTGTGAGGGACTGGTGACACCCCCGATCTCGGCCAAAGCTGGGATTGCCCCCACACCCCAACCCCCACGACGCTTGAAAGGATTAATTGGTAGAAGATAAATGGATAAAACCAAGGAAGAGGTCGCCTCCATTCAAATCCTCCCTTATTTGCCAGGGAAAAAAGTAGATAAGTGTTGGATTTATGTCCTCTTAAAAGTATACTTGTCTTTAATCAGTATTGAGAACAAAAGACAGGTGGGATCTGTGGAGCTCAGTCCATCAGACTGGGTGAGTGGGGCAGTAATACTGTGCGTCTCCTCTTTTGTTTCTCCTCAGTATCTTTTAAATCCTCCCTGAAGATTTATAAATGAAGGTGAGCACTTCCTGTCTGCCTTCAGAGATCCCCACAGCATTTACACAATGACTTATAGCTCACAAGTCTTCATGTTATTTTTCCTTTTCAGAGTCACTGCCTCCATATTGTTTATAATTATTTATTAACTGTGTTCATATATTAACGGCTTTGTTTTTGATGCCGTTATTTGTGAACCAGGATGTTTTTGATGCCGTTATTTGTGAACCAGCCAGTGGATGATGATGATTACTCATGTGTTAAACTCCACTGCAGTGCCTTAGTCCCCAGAGTGCTGCCCCTTTGGATTATTACCCTCAGACAAAGACCCAGTTTCTCAGAAGGCTTGTGTTACAGCGACATCGTCACTGTGAAAAGACTCACAGCAGCTGGTAACTGAGGCTTTTTTTTTTTTGTCGTCTACGTTGTTTTTTCTGTTCTCAAGTTTCTTCAGATTATTTTTCTTACTTTCGCTTTTGCTTCTTTGACTAATTTTTCACAGAGCAATAAAAGCTCTTGAAGTTACATACAAGTATTTTTTTTTTTCCCCAAAGTGAGATGGTCATCCACAGGAGATTGTGTTCCATATTGGTTTTGAGAGCAGTTGCATTTTTGATATCAGAACAATCCCAAGGTTTCAAGGTTTTGATGATCAGCGTAAAGCTGCAGTCCCTTCTTCTGTGAGTGTTCAAATACATTAATTATGGACAGTGTTGTGTCAAAACAACAACTTGTCTCCAACTGGACTGCTAACTCTAGTAGCATGTAGCCTCTAAGGCTTCAATAATAGTTGAGGACAACTTAGATGAAAACAAACCAGACATGTGTAAAATGTCGCCATCTTTCTGTTGTTTCTGTTGCTAATTCGTCACAGTTTGTGTTCCATTAATTTCTGTCCAGCTGACAGTTGTGTAGCAACTTGTTAGTTTTGCTGCAGTACTGTTGAGTTTGTCGATCACAGGCCAGTAATATTTTTATTTTATTATTATTTTATTTTATTTTATTGTAAAGGCAACACAGTGGCAGATGTAGGTGATATTTCCAATTGCCGTTCTCTTGGTGTGTAAGGAGGAGGACATCATTTTTGATGAGGCTTTTATGAGCGTACACTCACCTGAATGTGTAAGATATTGTTTTCATTACCACAGGATCTTTTTATTTACCCCTGGGACAGCTCTTCTCTGCTTCTCTACAGCGAGGACCATGTTGCATAAATGTAGGACAATTACACGGCTTGCAGTAAACTAATCATAAATCACCAATTTGCCTCATTTTATTTCAAATACATTTTATACTTAATCCATGAATAGACATACACGTCAAAAACTTTTAGGTGTTGAAATACTGCAGTCATAAAAAGAACTCTGTTGTAAACAAACATTTAATCCAAGCTGCTTATGTAGAACTTAAAATAAAATTCACCAAACCTTCTTCTGCAGAGACTCAGTACATCCTGTTTCCCTTTTTTCGTGGCTCGACAACGAACTCTAGCTTCATTACTGCCACCTGCTGGGTTGGAGTTAGTATACTTGTGTTATTGGTTTTGAACTGAAATCTCCATAACAAAAAATGGAAATTAATGTTAAAGATCTAAAGTTAATTAATGGAACGCTTAATAAAGATGCTATTTAGGTATCCACTATCTCCAGGTAAAAAAAAATGAATGTAACCTCTTTATTTTTTTTTAAAGAAATTGAATTGGCTGTACCAAAGAACACGGACTAGGAATATCACAACACTATGAAGTCAGATAAGGAGGTGTTGATCTAACACAAGGTGATGGGCTGTCAGCAGCTGCACTTGTAACTGAGCCTGTGGACAGAATAAGGACTGGAGACAGAGGGGAGGGGGCGGGGGGTGAGGTTATTAAAAGAGGAGTCAGAGTATGGAGGCAGAAAAAAGAGAGCGAGTGGCAGGAAGACAGATAACAAGGCAGAAGAAAGCCACCGAGGAGACAGGAGAGGGTCGGACAGACTGGAGGTGTTCCTCCACACTGGCCTCCTCAGTAGAACTCAGCCCCCTCCGTCTCTGGCCCACTCTCATGACATGTCACATTCCAACTAAGCCAGTGAATGGATGGCATTACCTTATGCTAATAACACTGTATCCCAGCACATGCCTCCAGCAAATGACATGTAATTTGTCATTCTCGTCTCTTTCACTCTCCTCCTCTCTGTATTGTTGGAACTTTAACATCATCTAATTCAATTTCCTTCCCTTTATCCTTAACTCAGCTCACTCTCATTCATGTTTCTCAGCCACGTCTCATGCAAATGAACAGAATTTAACTTATCGATGTGTTTGAAAATGTTATGGCTGCACTTTTCAGTTGTAGAAGTTGGAAATTTAAACTTAACATAACTCAAATGTCCTTGCTGGACATTTACATATCACTAGATCACAGTGTCAATACACTTCTCTATCCTGCAAGCCTCACAATTTTTTAATGGAACTGGATCACTACCAATGCCAATAATTATTTCTGTGGGCTATAAACTACACACCCAGGACGTGTGGGCCAACTCTGTTCTTTACTGTTTAAAGGTACAGAACGCAAAGGTTCCACGTGAAGCTTTCCCAACCTTTCCTACAGGAGGTGCTGAAAGTGCAATTTTAGATAAACTGATTCTGCAACATGGGAAACAAATCTTCTTTTAAGTCGTTTTGGATAAAAACATCTGCTAAATATGTAAATGTAAAATACTCACTCCACAGAAATACTGAATACACCAAATACATATGTTTTGTAAGACTTCCAGGTCTTGCTGGAGCTTGACTTGATTATTTTTAGTTAAACATTTCAATTAAACCACCTGCAAAAATCAGGGTCGGTAATTTAAAAAAAAAAAAATAGGATTACTGCAGGATTACTTTTGTTTGATTCTGTGGTTTATATTGCGAGTTCACTTTTGTGCACTATACCTGTATAACAATAAATGTATCCAAATCTAAATTGAAGCTAAACATATGATGTAACTTGGTGTAGCTCTAACATTAGTCTGTAGATATAACCTGCTAATACATAATGGAATCATTGACATGGGAGTAGAACATGCAGTATATGTGTAGCTTCCTACAGAGATAGTAAACGTCTCCTCCCTCAGACTATTACCCATGTCTTATTTCACTCCATGCCTCAAGCCAAGACTTGTTGGCACCCTCCCTCTCCACCCATCTCCACCCCTTTTATCCACATCCTTCTCTGTCTCCTCCGTGGCTCTGGCCATCTTTGATGTCTGTTGTGTGTTTTTAATGAGTTTGCTCTTCACCGCTGATCTGCGCCCTTTTCCTCCTGCGTCCCTCTCCTCGCTTGTTTGGCCCAAGCTGCATAACTGCAGTCAGTGCAAATCAGGCGAAGCTTAATCTACACGTGGTCATTTAAAGAAGGGGGGCGGGGCACACACTCTGTTGCACCGGTGATTTAGTTTATATGGCTACAAATGCAAGCATGTGGAAGATACATGCATGCACAAATAGAAACGCACGCTGACAGGCCCCGTCAGGTGACGTAACGCAGCCAGAGCAGATTAGTAAGTGACTCAGACAAACACACTCACTCGAGCATGTCTACGTACCCACGGGAGGCAGCTGTGTTCAGATGTATTAATCATTTTGGTTTCCAGCTTGCTAATTAATGACCCATCTGTCCCCTTTCACCGATGTTCTGTTCCAAACTATGTCATAGGTTCTGTCTGACACACACACACACACACACACACACACGTCCCAGAAACATCACATTGATGGACACATGTGAACAGGCCAGGAGAGTCACACTGTCATTTTTGCATCAAAGAAACCCCCAGACAGTGAGAGAGGCGGGCGGGGGGAGGAGGGAGGGAGGGAGGGAGGGAGGGGTGACAAGTTTATGAGTGAGTTTTCCTCTGTGTTCAGGTGGCAGACGCTGTGTCATCGGCTTGTCCTGTGTGTGTCTTTACGTCTGCACTGACATGGGCGTTTATGTGGTTTTGTGTGTGTGTGTGTGTGTGTGTGTGTGTGTGTGTTCATAGGCTTATCAGGTGAGCCCGGGCAGAGTGTCAGATGCAGTACTGGAGGCTTCAAAGACAAGTGCTGCGGTGAGTTTCCAGGCTGCATTTACCAATCCGATCCAACTCCTCCTCTTACTCCACCCACTCCTCCTCACCTCTTCCTTCAGCTAGGTCACAGTCCGACAGCACACAGGTAGAGACATCTCAGCCAGAGCAGGGTAGGGATGCAGGGAGAGGGACATCAGGAAGGAAAGAGAGAGAGAGAGACATTAAGAAGAGGCTGCAAAGGCAAACAGACAGAGGGCAGATGGAGAAAATATAGGCTGAGGGACGACTAGAAGAGGTGCTGAAAAGCAAGACTAATGGTCTGTCAGTGGCCAGGTGCTCGTCCAGAACCCCACCCCCACCCCACCCCTATTTCACTTGCATGAGTCGACGCACTTCAAACAGCCACCACTTGTCTGCTGCCTTGTTGTGCCGTTCTCCATGCAGCTGTGGATATTGTTGTCATCATTTTGATGCCCATCATCGCCGCTGCCGTCGTTAATTCGATTTCCTTTGAATGTTTGTTCTATTTCTGGCTTGCTGTCGCTTGTTTTCATTTTCATTATCAGTAACATTCATTTGCTTGGGTTAGTTCATTTATATGGGTTTGTGTCTTTTTTTTTTTTAATTTAGGCAAACAGCCCTGGCGTCATGATCGAGTGTTGTTTATAGTTGCAAAAAGGCATTCACTAGGATGATTTTATAAGTAATATCTAAGTAATAGATACTAGGTCAGGTGTGTTTGCATTGTAAACAGCTAAGCTCAAACAAAACTACTAATTAAATATTTTACTTTAAAATAATTTTAAAAAAATCCTACAGCACAACACCAAACATAAATATCCCAAAAAATATTCATAATTAATTTTAATGATCTTCTAGTTTCAGTTTACTAACACCCTGTATAAAACTGGACCTGTTTAGTCAAACGCAACTCAATATGTGCAGTGGGTGAAACTTATGCAGATCCTTTATGACCACTAGCTGCAATATTTTTGATCTCCTAGGCCTGAGACTTTTTTTTTGCTCGAGTCATTGTTATCATTCCATTAATGTCATTCATGACTAACATAGTCACAACTTTGTGACTCTTTTTGTTCTGTGTTTGTTTGCACAAATTGTATAAAAGGAGTGATTTAAAAAAATATATACCTTTATTTTATTTATCAAATACATCCTGTGACACAGATTGTCTCAGAAAACACTGCCATAATAAAATCATCTGTCTATGTTTTTAATTTTAATCTGTTCTGGTATAAACACAAATATGCAAAGTTGTCATATGCACATGTATTTAAATGAATTTAATTTGTGTCTCATTTTTCTCCTCTCCTGCTGCATCCTCCTCTTCCCCTTCTTTCATCATCCCTCTGATTAGCAAACCCTGGAGAATAACCTGACCAACCTGGTGAAGAGGAACAGTGAACTTGAAAACCAAATGGCTAAACTGATCCAGATCTGCCAGCAAGTTGAAGTAAGTTTATCTATCTATCTATCTGTCTGTCTGTCTGTCTATTTATCTGTCTGTCTGTCTGTCCATCCGTCCACCCGTCCGTCTGTCCGTCTGTCCGTCTATCTGTCTGTCTATCTATCATAGATACAGCACAAATATATCTTCCTGCCATCTTGTTTTTAAAATACTTCTCGAAGACAGGCGGTTTCAACAATTTAAGTCAGACACTTTGAAAATCCCTACTTTAAGACATTGTTTCCTGCTGTGCACGTTTGCAAAAAAAAAAAAGAGAGAGCGGAGAGATGAGGAAGTAATTGTTTTTTTTTTGGGTATTAGATAACATATCAGCATATGAAATCCTATCACCCAGCGTGTATCACTGTCGGTCAAATGATTTAAGAAATACAGAGTAGCAACAAATGAAATAACATCTCTGTTTTCATCTGAAAATCTGATGTAAAAGCAGCACTGGAGAAGAACTTTTGAATGTTTGAGAGGCTACCATAGTACTGCACCGCTCCACTGTATCGTCAACCCACATTTATTGCCCTTAAAAGATCAACGCCTTAACCAAACTGGTGTTTTATTTTTTTTAAAGTTTCAGTCCTTGTTTACTGTCTTCACATTGTTGAATATCATTAGGGTGAATTGATGCTCCACCACTCAACAATTTAATCCTCTGTAGCATCACCCATACAAGAAATTTATGCTCCGGAGTCCAAACCGATAAGATTATCTGTCAAAGGACATACATCTTCCACGTGGAAGCTTTATTTGACTTGTCACCAGCTCATAACTCTTCACAGTTCACTTGCTTCAGTCCGGTGACAACCTTGGAGAAATGTTTGCTCTTCAGTATCCCAACATGAACCCGTACCTGTCGGCAGAAAATTACACCTCAGCCAGTCTTGTCACTGTTGACCTCCCGGGCTCCTGCTGTGATTTAAAGGCAGAGCTGCAGTAATCCGGCCGGAGAGTGCGAACGTTCAGGCGTCTCTGGTTGTTGTCTCTGCTGCAGCTCTAAACAGTGTGTATACAAAGAGAAAGGGGAAAAACACACATCTGCACTTTTAATAATTCCCATCATTCCTCTAAACAATTTGACAGTAATAGCCTCTGAGGACAAATGCACTTTGGTGCAGCCATTACTCTGTGTGCACTTCATTTGTTATTAGCCACCACGGACTTCACTGTGGGACTCTTGTGGCACGATTCATGCAGCCACTCGCCCCAGATGAAATCAAATGATCACTTTGTGATTCATTACGTACAGAAACCAGCGGAAATAAAGGTGTTTTATTTTTCCTGGTCGCCTGCTACTGAGAAAAAACAGCAGCAAATGATGCTTTTTTTTTTACATAAAGCTGCAAGAGCTCTTTGCCCACCGTTATTAGAGCAAACATTAAAAAGTGGCCAGTGTACTATGATGTCACCACCAAGTAGTAACTTAATCAATAAATGAGAGTAAACTGACTCAAGATGAGTTCATATGATGTGTGTTAGCCTCCACGGGTGGCTAGAAGAAGGCTGATCTGCAGGTGGAACAGAGAGAACATTGTTCCATCTAGTAGGAGGACATGAAAGGAAATAGTGAAGTGAAATGTAAATGTGAGGGAGAGAGTGGGTTGTGGGTTGTGAGGATGAGCAAAGTCATACGAAAGGTTGTTGATGGTTACCAAGCAGAAAAATGCACAAACAAACGGAATTAGAAGTCAAACTAGAAATGGAAATTGTTGCGCAGACATTATGTTCGAAGTAGGAAATCTCTCAAGGAGTTTGATCGCGACCTGCATTCCTGTCTCCTGTGTTTGCGCCCCACTGTATTGTGGGCACAGTAATCAAACAATGTGTGAATCAGCTTCCAGTGTGTCAGCGCAGACAGCCGTGATGGAGCCTGGGAAAAAAATAAAAATGTTTTGACTTGACGGTGTGTAGGATGTGTCCTTTTTTAGCAAACGTCTCTCTCTCTATGACAATATTTGCTGCAGGGTGGGAGGAAGTTGTCGCTGTGCCAAGTGACATCCTGACTGTTCAACGTTTTTAAGAATTTCATTGTGATGGGTTCAGGTTTCATGTGGTGTCACTGAAAAGTGTCATGCCTCATTTCAATTTCAATGTCAGGTGTGTGACTGTAGGCAAACACTGCTCTGACATTCTGATTATCTATGATAACAAAAATATCACTGTCTTTAAGGAAAGATATGCAGGATTCTCACTTACTCTGGAATGAAACGTCTCATTTTTACAGTAGTTTAGTACCAGGAGTACTAGTACTAGTACATCATTATTATTTTGCGTGTAGCTAATTAAATGTTGGCGATTGAGATACAAGAAAAATATGTTAGTAAAAAAAAAATGCTGCTTTTTCAGATATACAGTAATTGTGGTAGTAGTTGTAGCAGGGAGATTAGCTCATATGGTAGAGCATTGATTCCCAAAGACTGGGTCGCGACCCTCAGGTGGGTTGCAAGATTTTTTTTTGGTGTCGTCTCACATCATGTTTCTCAGGAGTTTATGTATAATGTCTATTGATTTGGATCACAAATGTTTGTGACTTTTAAAGCATGAATCCCCAGAAGAAAAAGTTTGGGAAACACTCTCTTAGCATGGAAGCAAACCTAACATTGAAGCCCAGTGTTGTTTCCTCTCCAGGTCAGTTGATATAAACGTGTCTTTCAAAGTCAGCTGACCTTTTCTCCCCAGAGCTGTGGCTGTTGGGTTTCACTTGAGGAAAAAAAAAATACTAAAAAGACTAAAACGTCACGGTGACTGACCCGAGTTTTTGAAAACATTCATTGTAAACAGCCGTTTCATGAGTAGTGACTGGATAATTAAAGACAACAGAGAGAGAAATGAATGTTTCTGTATAGTCACTTCACAACATGTAACACGATTTACACTCATACAATTAAAGACAAAACAACAGCAGCTAACAACAGTTATTCCTTTGTCTTGGTCAGAGACATTCTTCAGGTTCTAATTGATGCCACATTTGACGTCAGTGTCTTTTTCCTTTCTTGTCTCAGCTCAGTGTCCGTCCTGTACATCAGGTTCCAACAGAAAATGACAAGTGACTTCAGTCAGCCCAGTTAGGGCCACATCACTGCACTGCTCAAGGAGTTTCACAGCACACGTCAAACTTTGCTTGTTAACACTTGGCCATCAGCTGACTCCTGGACTACACACGTCTACTCCACCAGCACTGTTTCCATGTCTCTGTCTTCCTTTAATCCTTTGTCAACTCTGTTCCTCTAATGACTTCAAGAACTCTGAAGCTTGTGATGTCACGAAAAAAAAGAGTTCAGGAAAACACTTTTGTACCAGAATGGAACTTTTCATGTCTCAGTTGGTAACTTAAATTTTGAGATTTAACCAACAAGCACCAGATATCTTCTTCAGGAATGTAAATTAATGGAAATACCATGAAAAAGTCCACTTTGTTATACTGTGACTGATGCAGGTACATCAGTCAAGCCTTTAAAAAAAACATACAGTCACAAAAAGTTCAGTCTGGGATTAAATAAAATCCTCTGAAAGTTCAGTCTGGGATTAAATAAAATCTACTATACAACTATTTTTACAAAGTGTTAGTGAACCAGTAGTAAGCCTCTGTATTTTCTTTTTCCGTTCATTTCCTCTTCTCCACTAACCCATTAACATATACAGCAGATGCATTCTGGGTGATCCTTAGCTCCGTGCCGTTTGTCATCTCACTGTCCATAACCTACTGTTTCACAGTTGAAGTTGATGCTTTTTAGAGCTCATGCAGAGTGAAGTGCAGTGAATATCCAATAACTCCATCGTCCTCCCACCTCCATATGGTCTCTACAAATACAATGTTTGAGTTATACTTACCTAATAATAAAGTTATACCTAATACCTAAGTATATTTTTACTTTATAACTAAATTTGCTTTATTTTTATGGTACAATGTAATAATAATTCCATCATGGAACATTGATTAATCTGGATTAATAATGATCACAATTAATCATGACTAATCACCAATGCATCTTTTTTTTATTATAAACAAGCACTGATCGTGAAATTATTTTTAAACATTATCTTAGACGAGATCAGAGCGAAGCCTTTGGGGCTTTTGGGTTCTGATTGGACAAGAGGCTGTGAGTCATTAGCCAGTGTCTCTGTGTGTTTGTGCACTAATGATCCATCTGTGTGTACTGCAGGAATGGCCTGAGTGAATATGGCTTCAGTGCTTCATAATCCCTGGTTTCAGTTCTCTCTCTCTCTCTCTCTCTCTCTCTCTCTCTCTCTCTCTCTCTCTCTCAGTGACTCTCTCCTGATATCTACTGTGTCGTTGTAATTCTGTTGTATTTCTATGTGGCTGGTACGTGTGGCTGAAGGGTCAGCACTCTTTCAGCTCTCTTCACCTGTCTGTACAGTATTACAGTATGTCATGATATTGTAATTTATCTTTTTTAAATATTGGCAGGGGGTGTGAGATTAACGGAAATAACAAAACAGAGTAGTTGCTCGCAGTGGCCGGCCGAGGAAATAAAACTCATAAAATCCACTTCCCATCGATCGTCCTATGAAAGCCATTCACTGGGAGTCATTATCCATTTTGTCTCAACAGTTGCACGAGGCAGCCTGTGGCCAGAACACTGAGATCTGATTTTTATTTCCCATATTTGATAATGATTTGATACCACATGATCAGCAGTCATGTGGCTCTTCTTCCAGCTCACTGAGTAGTTTGTTACTCCTTTGGTGTCGTTTTTCTTCCAACTTATAATGAGATTTCATTTTCATTGGTACTGAGAGACACTTTGTTTTTGTTCAGATAAAAAATAGATATAAATTAAACTGTCTGAGGTCCTCTTTTAATGAGCAAAAGAAGTCAGATGTTTTTGGTTTTTTACTAAACAATCACTTATGCACTACAGTAGAGTACATTCCCTGGCACAAAATCCAATTTTTCTTGTGGACTTAATTGTCCAGGACGTCAACTTCTCAACCTGAAACCAGTAACCAATACGTCCAACTGTTTAATCTTCATTGTTGAATTTGGTTTGACCAGACTGTCTAAGATAGTCAACTGGACCAGACATTTTTGTTGACCAACTATAATTGTCATTTCAAGCAAAGGTAAACAGACTTTGAACAGGATTTGTTTATGTAGCATAAACCGCTAACAATTCCACACAAGTGATGGATTGTTTTGTTTTTTGTTGTTGCTACACTACAGTGTGCTTCATCTGTGGTCTGTTCAACTGGCCTCTTAAATGACTATAGACTGGACCACTCTGAGGTTGTGTCTGGCACACATGTGGCCCACAGGCCTCTGTTTGAAGAGGCCAGATATTAATGCTGAGTTATTTATTTTTTTATTATTGGTCAGTCAGTTCTGTAAAACATCCATGGTGTAAGAGTTAGTTTAAATTATTTAACAATCCAATGAAAAACAGATAATAGATAAACTAAGAGACAACGACTACAGAAACAGCCTCAGATGTGAACAACTTCCATTTCTTTTGGCCAGCGTTGAAATTTATCACCATTGAACTATTTCCAATCATCACCTTTTCTGACATAAAGTCCTTGATGAATGTCTGGCTGTCTAACTGTCTTGTACTCCACCGTGTCCATAAAGTCATTTTTCCCCTGTTTTAGTGCCAGGTGCCATGCGGGCGTCATAAATCTGCAGGAAGTGTCCCAGAATCTGGAGACAACATCGGAGATAAAACTGTCACTCTGAGTCCTTGCATCTTTTGAGGACATAATCTGAGAGACATTGAGGGGGGAGGGAGCACTGAGGAAAAGAAAAAAATAACAAATAACAAAACAGAAACACAGACTGAGGTGTCCTTTCAGGAAAAATGTCGGGTCACATGATATGTAGAAGGAGTTGTCACAGACTGTTGGAAAGAAATCGGCTCGGGATTTCATTTAGACGTGAGGGTTTTGTGCAAGAGGTTGACGTCTGCTCTCATCCTAGACTGGTCCTCAGCCGGGTCGGAACGACAGTCCTGAAGGGGGAAACAGTTTATTTTGGGAGCTTGTTTTATAAATTCATATCTGTTATGAATTGTTGGCATCGTTTTTTGTTTTTTGTTTTTTTTGCTAGTTGCCTGTATCTGCATGGCTGCTCCTACAATCTGATCCAAGGCTCTGGCCAAGACCACAGCAGTGTGAATGAGATACAAAAAGAATCAATATGAGTGAGAATATGTTGACGTAAAGAAGTCAATGTGTGTGTTCTCATCTGATATGTTGTCATTTTAATATAAATTGGAGTTAAGAAACAAGTAAAAGCCTTTCATTTTTAAACACTGACATAAAGATGTTGGTTATCTGACATGGCACAGGCTTAGATGAGTGTTGCTCTTACTGTTGGGAATATTCCATCTTATTTATTCTACCATTTCTGTGGACTTGTTGTTGCTGTTTGTCTGGAAACGTTGTCATCTCATGTGTTTTAATTTATTATTTGGGTCTGAAAAATCACAACAGAAGTTGGATTCCTGTGTAAAAAAAAGAAAGAAATTAAATTCATGTTGATTCATGTTGCAGTGACAAATACCTGCAGCATCATCTGGTCTGATTTAGTGTTGCAACATAATTAAAAAATCAGTCTGGAAATTTATCAGGAATAAACATAAATAATGAAAACAGCAATGCAGTAGATTTTACTGAGACAACACGTACAGCAAACCTTACCACTGTGTACTTGAAGAGTACTGATGTATTGACAAAATGAAGTGAGTCTCTGATTTACACGTTGTTATTTACACACAGGAAAAAAGAAGAGCTTCACAAAGGGATTAAAATATCATTTTAACAACAGGATGTGTTTGTAGAGGATTTAACTTAAGGTCTGACAACAGGCAATGACTAAAATACACCGACTCTGAAGCAAAATTTGGAGTTACATGTTTGCTTATATTTCCATTTCATAATCTGGATTTGTGACTTTTAAAATCGTATGTAAAACACATACATCAACATGCTGTCATATGTTGTTTTGTTACAGAAATATACGTAAAAAAGGAACTGATTTATCTCGATTAATCACGATTAATTACCATCACCATTAAAAGAAATGAATCCACAGCTATCGTGAGATTAAAAACCAAGAGAGTACGTTGGATTAAGATTTCAAATCATTTTATAACCTCAAAATAAACAACCATGAATTGATGTTGTTTGTGTAAAACTTTTCTTTCAGACAGTCTTTCTGTACAGATTCACTGAAGTGAAGCTCCCACTGACTGTCAGAAACCTTTTCACGTCATAAGTTACAGCTGAAAAGTCCTGAAGTTTTTTCAATCTCCGCGGTTGTTTTTTCCTCATACAGCAGTGACAGATCGACATTCTGATTTCACTGCGACTGGAGGAGAGACTGATAAAGAGAGGGGGTCGCAGGAGGTGACAGAGTTTGTGTAGCAGGAAGTAGTGTAGATGATATCATGACAACATGGCAAAAAGAAGCACTGCAACATTTTGATGTGATTTAAACAAGGACAGAATTCAGTCATTACTTCTGTGTAATTATCGATCTTTAGTCATGAGATTCTTCTGTGCAGAAAGAATTTAATATTGGCTTGTGTGTGTTTGTGTGTGTGAATGATGAGGCTGAAGTGGATCAGCAGGTTGTAATGAAGTTGTAAAGTACAGTAATGAAAGGAAATCGGCATAGATTTTATGTACAGTTTACTAACCAGTCAGTACTCTGAAATACTTCAAAATAAAAGGGATGAATGTGTATAATGATATATTAAATTCCCTCACTGTAACATCTTCTAATCGTCTAAAATTTAAGAAATTATTTTAAACCAGTAAAAGTACTGAAAGGAATCTTACATCACTTTAAACACCTCCTAAATAAATTAGATAACAGTAAAAAAGAAAAAGATCAATTCTTCTTCATTTTGACTTTGTTCTTTGAATAAAATGTGGTGGTGTGGGAGCGGAGGAGCTGGTGATAAAGCGTCTTCCTCTGCAATAAGCTGTGACCTTTGCATTAAATGTCATAATGAAACAGTAATCAGTGTCTTCACTGTGATATTTCAAATGTCCCTGATGGAAAATTATTTTCTCCTGGCTGCTCTGTGATGAAGTTGAGCTTGTAAACTTTCTTGTTCCAGTTACTGCCCTATTCACTGAAACATTGGCCTGACCCAGAGAGCTGGGGAAGAAGTTCCTCGGTTCTGAATTTATTTGTGACCAAAATCAGATCATCTACAGAGAAAAAAAAAACAAAACATTTTCACAAGAAGAAACGTCTTTTCAGGTTCTTTTCATTCCTTTATTTTACAATGTCAATGTTATTGTCCTCGTGATCTTCACTGTGTCAGGAGATATTACATTTTTAATAAAGACTGACATTTAACATGTTCGAGAAGAAGCGGCGACAGTTTAAATGTAGCATCTAATATATCTTCTTGATGTGCAGGTGTTACCTTTTTGCAACAAAAAAATCTAAAATAAGACCTACATATCTATGCTTTGTCAATGTATCATTGGCCAGAGCAGAGTGCAGGGCAATAAATAAGTCTACGGCGGACAAGGTGACTGACGCAGTCGTCAGTCTAGACTGGGTAATATTGCTGATTAATCTCAATCAATCATGATTAATCCACGGCTACTCTGTGATTAATCGAGGTAAAAGTTTGGGGGTTTTTTATTTGCGATTTAACCGAGGGTCGTTTCTGTCTCTCCAGGTGAACACAGCCATGCATGAAGCCAAGCTGGTGGAGGAGTGCGATGAGCTGGTGGAGATCATTCGTCAGAGGAAGCAGGTCATCGCTGTGAAGATTAAGGAGTCGAAGGTAAAATATGAGCAGTTTGAGACGAACCCTAAAAGAGTTGGGATTAGCATTTGTGTTGTCCATTCACTTCTACAGTATGCCTTTGAGTCACACTGACTTGTACACATTCAGTAAAAAAAATATACATTTTGATCATTCAGCTTTTCTTGAATGGTTGGGCTCCATTTTTCCAAACATCCTTGAAGGGGTTCTGATGACCTTCGACAAGGTCACTGTCAATCATAACCAAATATGTTATTTGTTTGACGTTTATTTTTACCACATTCAGTGAATTACTTGTTTGACAGACAAGGATGTGAATTTGAATGGCTGCCAAAGTCATAGAACCCACAGTAAAAAAAAAATACCATCTGTTGTCAGAAATAGCAGTAACTCCAGTGGTAAAAAGAGAATCATAATGTGTACCCACAGACCACAGCTATAAGTGAGGAGAAGCTAAAAGGCTGCATTAAAATACAGAGCTGGGGGGAAAGTGTCTGTGGTTTTTATAAGCCAATTTGACACCATCCATTCGTCTGATTTATTGTCTATATAAAACATATTGATTAATGCATTTTGAGGTTTATGAAATAAGATGTGGATTTTTTTTTACTGCATTCACGTTTCATTTGTTCATTAATAATGCATGAGTTCAAACAGCTATGTTCCGATGCCATTTTATGCAGCTGGGCTGCCAACGCCATCTAAAAACTGAGCTGTGGGTCACAGTGGTCAGTCCACTGGTAGGAAGGCAGTGGTTTTTATACAAGAAAACAAACTGAGGACTGTGGACAGGGTATATTTGGACAGGTGTGTCATTGTGGATTTTGGTTCCTTTTTTTTTTTTGTTCAGGCAGACTGACTGGGAGATAAACAGAAAAGACCCAACAGCATTGTTAGTTTGTACGAGTAAAGCTGTACCTCATAACGCAGTACCAGAAAAACTACCATGGAAATTTCTTCAAATCCAAATCCTAAGAAGTTACGGTGTTGGTTGTTGGACTGGCTTGGTTAGTTGGAGAAAATGTCATCTTTCATGACTGAGGAATCTTCCATTTTAACTTTTAATAGTCACAGACTATTTTAGGCCAAAAAAAAGTCTTTGAACTTTTATCACACACCTGGGGTCTGGAGTGGGAATATTCATGGATCATTTCCATTTCCAGAGAATCCAACTCTCTGTCCATGAGCTCGTCTGATTGGTTGGATGTTGTTTGTATCCCTCGAGTTTTGGGTCAAGCCACTTAAATTCTCAGGCTCCCAGAGGTGAGTTTTAAGCAACTGTGGAGTGATTAAATATTTTCAAGTACTGGACACAACGGACACAAAAAGCAGTGTTTTTAGTGTATGTGAGAGAGAGAGAGAGAGAGTGAGAGAGTCAGACAGATGGACAGCAGTGTGTCTGCAGTGATCACTCACATAAGGCAGAGCACGTACTCCTGAGAGTCTGGGCCGGTAAAAGGCTGTTGAGGAAAGGTTAGTGAAGTGAGAATCCAGGAGATGGAGGGAAAACATGTTGAGCACCAGAAAAGGATGTGAGTGATGAGACGGGGAGAGGACAGGTGGAGAGGGGAGGAGAAAAGAGCGGGGAGGTGGGAGTTGGGAGGTCCTATTACGCTTTCAGACAAACCACTAATGCTGCCACTTCTCCGACAACAACACCGGACCGGAGAGAAGGTGCTTGAATGTGGCTGCAACAGACAACAAATTGGGATTATGCTGATGTGAACATGGAGAACAGATGCAAACAATGCGAAGGTGTCTGTTCTTCTTTTAACAAGTCTGAGTTTGTCTCGAAGGAGAAGTGGCCGTCGGGCCTAATCTCTTCCTGTCTAAACTAAACAAAACATCCCAATGGCTTGATGCTGCTTGTTTGTATATAATTGCTGATTCTGAGCTCACTTTGCTTTTTATCAGCCAAGAAACAAGGAGTGTGGGTGGGGAGGGGTTGCTGAGGGGATACCACTGATTATTACTGTCCTGTGGTAAACAGAAGCTTGAAAAGGTTTTCATTCATTCATTTTACTTGACATCAAGGACCCAGTGTGGTGCTGTGAAGGATGTTTCCTATTACTCTGAGGCATTGCCAAAAATAATTTTTGCACCTGAGTGAGGAGCCACCAAAGCGTGGAGTTTTTCGCAAATAGTGTTTGACCTTGAAGTAACCTGCAGCTTTTCACGTCTGGTGCGGTTCTATCGGACATCAATCTAACCATGGAGTTGAGTTGACTTTCTTACTTTTCACATTGTGTGGATTTGGATGGCCACACGGGATTGAAGTGGGAGAACTTAGAACCTGTATGTCCACCGGTAAAATACGATCCCGGTCACATCTGTCCAGCCGCCGCCTGGCTCGACCTGAAAGGCTGTCGTTAAACCAGGTCTGCAGTAAATTGTTCAAAGTGCTGTCTTCCCTCGTCTCCCCACAGCAATCTGACAAAATGACTTTATTTATCTACTTACGATTCTCCCTGTTTGGCCAGATGTCCACAGACAGGTCACTTTTTCATTGACTGTAGCCATTGGCTTGATGACTGATTGGTGCATTGTTTCCTCTCTGGCTGTCGTCCGTGACAGCTGTAATTTTTGGCTCTGTGACAGATTTCCTCCCTGGTCCATCTGCAATACTCCAAATTGCTTGCAAAAATATTTTAGGGCGTGAATGGCTTCCATTTTGATACTAACAGCACGTCAGAATTGCAGTGTTTGTGTGTGTTGTTTTATTCAGTACCTTTTGAGGTATAGTTTTAACCTAGCTGGAGGGTTAGCGTTAACAAATATCCATTGTTCGAAACCTTTAATGGTGTAGCTACATCCTAGTGCAGTTAGCATAGTTCCATAGTGGAGCAGTTATCATGCCTGCCTTAAACATCTGCCTTACAGGCAGAAGGTCCTGGGTTTGATCCCCAGAAGAACCACATACTCAGTAGCGCCTCCTATGTGGCAACAACAACATACTAAGTGGCGCATTCTGTGGCAGCCTGTGTGGGTTCCAAAGACTCATACTGTGAATATCCTTATAATGGAGTAATATTTTTTTATAAATGTAGTTACAAAGTAGCCCAGTAGGGGCAGTGTTGTCACTAAAAAATAGTGATTATATGTTGTTTTTGTTTTTAGCATGTGAGCTAAACAGGTACAACTTTGATTTTTTTTTTTTTTTTTTTTTTTTTTTTTTTTTTGTCATTTTATGTCATGTTGACAAAATTTCTCTTTTAGGACCATAAAAACAAAGACCAAACCTAAATTTGGAAGGATTGAATAAACAGCTGAAAGATGAACTCATCTTTCAGCCGTTCATTCCTTCCTGATTGCTGGGAAACAGTCTACACTTTATTCTCCTGCTCCTCACCTTTAGTTGACAGTCTGTCCTGGAGCTCATAAGCAGCCTGCATGATTTACTGTGGAGAGGGTCATTAAGTGAAAGTTTATTTAGGGATCAGGATATGATCCGTCATGAAGACAAATAGATGACTTCAATTGTGAGCTGCTCAAAGGCCTGTGTATGCTCAGCTGCAAGTGATGTTGCAGCACAAACATTGACCAACGACCAGGAATGCAACCGTGGTCGTGTGTATTAGCGGTCTGAAACCTGACATGAGTCAGTGACCTGTTATTGATGTGCACAGCTTGTTGGATGGTCATTGGATGAAAATCCTCAGCTTTATTCATCGACCTCAGGGAATCGTGCCCATGCCATCGTCTGTGCTAAAACGTCTGAAGCTGTGAAACCAAGGAAAGGGAAATCTGTGTTACAAAGGCTGTGGTTTGGGTTTGGACCCACGCTTTGGAAACCCTTTTGGCTGTATTTTAATGGAATACTCGTTCACACACACACAAATACAGGGAGACAGTGTGAGAGGGATTTTCATGACACATTTATTTCCGAGTAGCCGTCTGTACATCTTGTTCTGGCTGCTGTTTTATCAGGTAATAATTATGCTTTTCACCAGTGCTCCTCCATGATTTGGAACACTCATAAGGTCATGAAGCTAATAGGCCTGTTACACCTCCAGCCACATTTCCAGGTCTCAGTTTTCTCTACTGCATTTTGGCATCTTTTCGTAGCAGTCTCCGTCTGAATGTGTCATGATGTAGTATTAGCATAACAACTAAGACAGGGAATAGAAGATTGGAATAATTTGTCTTGTGTTAACCCCAGTTCTCCCAAGTGTTTGATTTGGTATCTGTGTAAAAGGTTAAGTTAAGGTTTCCCCTATCAGTGACTAAAAGTCAGAGTTGATTTTTTTTTTTTTATATACATTCTTTGTAGTCTGGAAGACCAGACTTGACTGTTATGTTTCTGTCAGAACCTGTCAGCGTCAGTTTGTCCCAGTCTTGACAGCATCTAGCTTTAGATGCAAACCAGTCACAAATGAACGTGTGTGAGCAACGACGTAGAGTTCCAGGCCAAAAAAACACATGCAAAAGTTAATTGTTCTTGAAAGGAGAAAGCAGTGCCACCAAGTGCATGAGTAATATTTCTGAGCTGTAAATCAGGTGGAAGACTCTGCCCCTGTGCCATGTGTGGCTCCTGATTGTTAGTCTGCCCACCATCCCACTGCCAGGGTTCTGTGACACCATCTCCAACAGGAATAAGAACAGTGTGTTTTCCTCAGCAAAGAGAGGAAAGATGACTAATGAAAAAAAAAGAGATCCACGTTAATAAATCTGTGGTGAGGGGGTGTTTAAATCACATTTAAAAAGCTGATAAAAAATAATAATTAATAATAAAGAATAATTAATAAACAGAATTTGTTTTTAAAACTCTCTTGGACGAGTTACTGAAATAAGACCTGACTTTGTGATGCGGATGTACGTCATAAAGTCCTCTAAAACACCCACTCCTATCGTGCATGATGGAGTTACAGGACTTTCCGTGAGCACATTTTTACCCTCCAGATATTATCATCATTAATCAACAACAACAAACAAAAAGATTTTCATTAACATGAATGAAAGACGCTCCCTGGTTGTGTAAGGGCTTCTTCCTTCAGGCTCAGATCCCGGGATTGAAAACAAGTCAGTGCTGCTGTCTCAACACATCTACTCTACCTGTGTGTTCCAGGTGATGAAATTGCGAAAGTTGGCTCAACAGATTGCAAACTGTCGTCAATGTCTGGAACGTTCCAGTGCCCTGATCACACAGGCTGAGCAGAGCCTGAAGGAGAACGACCATGCCCGGTTCCTCCAGACCGCCAGGAATGTAGCAGAAAGGTGAGAAAAGTGGCGTACAAACAAACACAATGGGATGGAAAAAAAAACAATCTTCTTTTACATATTTAAATCAATCTTTTTTTTATTCTATATGCATATATACACCAATGTCAATCTCATCTCACAAATCAATTCTCATTCAGATTCTGTAAACACACGTGCACAGTGTGCTTCATTTCTCTGCTCTGTGCCCTGGTGTAATCACTTCTGTCATCTAGTTCCCAGCTTCACACAGTAAAACTTTTTTTTTATCAAATTTGACCGAACAAATATGTTTTTTTAATCAAATGCTTGCCACAAGTTCCGTTCCTCTACGCAATGCAATCTCAGAGTGAGGTGACGGCTGAAATCAGACTAATATTAAACCTGTGCAGCTCCTACAGTCAGTGTCAGGCCTCTTTGAAAAATCATCGATCATCCATGGTTGCTCGTTTCCCTTCGTGCTGCTGTGAAACCTTCATTCCTTCCTGCAGACCAGCAGGTCTCCCCACCTGAGTCTCTCACTGACAAAGGCCTTCACAAGATCTATACAACTAGCATAGCATATCCTTTTAGGTCCGGATTCCAATTCACAGGTCTGTGCGCCTTATTGATTGATGGCTTTCTCTTCACTGAGAGAAACTAAAGTGTAAAGTTCTACTGCTGCTTTATGATCTGCTCTGCAGCCCCGCACGTCCAATCAGATTGGCTCCTGCTACACACCAGTGCTCAAAACAGAAAATGGCCCAAAGCTGGAAAAAAAAACATTCAGAGTCAGCATGTAACCCAAGACACAGCTCTTAAAATGGTCACGATGGGGTGTCTTTAGCTTTAGCTAATTTTTAACATTGATCGGTAACTAGCATTTTTCTAGAGCTTTTTTTTAGCAGCTGCTAAGTTCTCTAGGCTCATGTTTATTGAAAAAAATAAATGTTCCATCCATGTTCTTTTTTACTGGGCACAGCTAATAACCTGAAACTCTACTCTAGATGTCTTCAGGCTTGGATTCCTGGATTTGTTTAAACTGGTCTTCAATGTCTTCCTTTAGCTTTTTTTCTTTTTCCTATCTCTACACACGTTTTTTTTTTTTGTTTTTTTTGAAAAGGTGATTTTCATCAAACTTCATCTTCTCTCACTTCCTCCCTATTTCCCCCCGTAGCCTCGTGTGGCCTCTTGGCTAACCTCAAGTTTTTGCCCTTACTGTGTAATTTCCCTTTTTTCACCCCATTGCTTTACTGCTTCTGTTTAAAGGGTTGCCATGGCGACTGCATCCTCCCAGGTACTCATCCCAGATGTCAACCTGAATGAGGCCTACGACAACTTTGCCCTGGACTTTTCCAGAGAGAAGAAGATTTTAGAAGGACTCGATTACCTGACAGGTGAGAGTGGAGATGAGGATAAAAGTTTCAATAGAAGTGTCAGTGTTTTGATTACGATTACAAGAGCACTAGCTGTGATTGTGGTAGCTGGGGGGCGAGTGGGGACTCGTCAACAATCATCTACCAAAGAGGTTTCAGTCACCAGAAGAAGATGCAACAGTTAGGAAACTCACCTATTTTATTTAACGGTGAAAAAATGGGTTGACATTGAGTTGACAAGACAAACTTTTTTTGTCGTTCTTTGTCGTTCTTTCATGTGTGTAGCTCCGAACCCGCCGTCCATCAGAGAAGAACTGTGCACGGCTTCCCACGACACCATCACCGTTCACTGGTCATCAGAGGATGAGTTCTGTGTCACCTCCTATGAGCTGCAGTACACCATCTACACCGGCCAGACAAATTTCATCAGTAAGTCGTGCACACACAGACACACACATACACTTGGCATGGATAAATACACAACCTACTCATGCATAGGGACAACAAAAAACGCTGTGAGGAGAAAACTAAATTAAAGTTTCAGAGCTCTGCCCTTATTTTTCTTTCTTATTTAAGATGTTCTATATTTCCTTATCTTGCTGTATGGAGTCGACTTGTTGCTGCTTGTTATAAAATAAGTCATGCTCAGGCACCGAGCCTGTGCTTTAAAATATTCAGAATTTAATGCCTTGAATTTTGATGCATGGTCTTATAGAATCTGCAAACTTCACACAGAGGAAAAGAAAAAATATTACTGTGTTGGTTTTAATTTCCTGTTATTAAGTCCACAATAACAATAACGAACATTAATGTTTGTTATTTCAGAGTAGTTGGAACGACTTGAATGTGTCAAGGCTTTATTTTAAAACTGGAAAGTAGTCTTATTATGTGTAGTCATTACATTTAACTTGATGACTTTCTGCAGTCATTACAAGATTTGTGTATGTGTTTCTATTCATGGCTTAAACATATAAACTGAATATATATATTTATAAACATATAAACTCAAGCTATAAGGTTTTTTTGTTCCAAAAGTCCACAGCGGGGCTCAAATCCCAGTTTCATACCAAAACAAAACATCAGTTAAAATATCTACAATATGTATAAAGCAATACTAAAATCCTAAATGATTTAATGACAAATGGAAATAAAAAATATATATATATTTTTTTGAATAAATATAAAAAAAAGACCACCAGAAATAGTCCTGTTTGTCATAAATGTACACCAGTTGGCCGTTCTGTAACAATGTAAAATGGACCTGGTCACAAGCTGGACTCAAACCCAGGATCACTGTGTCTCTCTGAAACCCTTAAATAAAGTGAGGATGCAGTTTCTGTATCTCTTCTACTCCAACCATCCTCTACTTCACAGGCTGACGTTTTCTCTAGCCTGCAGCTCAAGTGCCCCTGCCATTTAAAACATCAGGATACATTTCAAGTAGAAAACAGAGTGACTTGGATATTCAGCAGTGTGCTGCCACACAGTCCTCAGAGATTCACAGAAAAGAAAACCCTTTTAGCCTGCAATTCCACTTGACGTTTTTTTTTCTCCAAAGAAGTATTTTTCTAGCAATTTCAAGCGACTAAATGCTCCCACTTGAGCACTATATCCGCCTCACCCCCCCTGCCCTCTCCCCTCCTCCTGATCTCATCCTCAGCCTTGGCTCTCCCATGAGGAGAGGGTAATAGAGGCCATGGTGTCTTGTAAACCCTGGGTGTGCATGAGTCAAGCACAGCAAGAGAAAACACTACAGCAGAGAGAAATCATTTACCGTAGTAAAAGGTAGTAGTTAGTTTCATGAAGACATAAACACAACACCAGGGAAAGGTGTTTGCTCTTCGAGGTCATTGTAAATACAAGTGTCTGTTATTCACCAACACGACTGACCATTCATTTTGCTTGGTTATTTTTTTTTCTGTCAGCAACAGGTCACAGTTAAAAGTGAGTTTGTTTTCATCAGCAGCCGCTCCAACCTCACTCTCCTGAAGTTGTGAATTATATCAGACAGCAGTGCTGATGCACAGCCTGCTTGTCTATGACCCTAATAAATAAATGCTACCTTCTAATGGAATTGTCAATAATGCAACACTCAGAGGTAACAATGGTCATAAACCATTTCGACTTTATGCTGATTCTTATTTTTGCTTAAACTGATTTCAGGTTTACTTTAAACAAAAATCTGAAATCACATTAATGGGTTTACAGGCACTAGAGATAATGAAGTGATTTTTATTATTATAATTTATTTACCAAATCTATATCTACAGTTCAGTTTGTTTTCTCCCATAATGTGTATTTTTTTTCCTACACTGTTGGACAGAATAGCTTTTTACCTAAGAAATTGTAACATTTTTTACAGAATTATTAGTTGAACTTTCCTCAGCGAAAATCAGCACCCTCTCAGGACAGAGGCGGGATTGCATTACTCAAATGCAGAAAAAGAACTGTTATGTAATATTACAGCTTTTTTAAAAATGTCTTAACATATAGTTAAAAAAACAAACATCTGTTTTAGTTTCAGTAAAGGTTTTAGTCAGTCAGTGACAGTCAAGGTCGACCTCATCTACTGACCTGGCCATGATAGGACCTATTCTTCCATCGTCCTCTGGGATGTAAGGATACGTTCACATGTGTGAGAAGTATAATCCAGGTTTACACCTCCTGTCACTGGTAACTTTGTGTTGCGTCACCAGAGCTGAGCCTTCATTCATTACCAGCGTACGTTGCATTTCTTCTCCCCTCTCATCTGTCCGCCTCTGAGCCTCACGGAAATAAATGTCGACACAAATATATGTGCACATTTTAAAACATGCATTAAAAACACACACTCCACGTCTGGATACAGGATCTGAGGTGACGTATTTCCCACCTCTTCTCCTCCACTCTCTCTTTTTAGTGGCACATTCGCCTCGCTCCTGCACTTACTTTGAAGTACCAGTTCTCTCTAAAGCAGCATCAGAAAAGTCCCTTTCAGCGGCATGAGGAATGATGGAGCATGACTGTGTGCTGACCTAATTTGGTTTCACAGAGAAGGAGAGCTGCTGTGGATATCACAAACTGTAACATGGAACAGCTCTGTATTTTATTTGTGTCTCTTCCTGAAAGACCGTGATCAGATCTCAACCTTCATTTCATCCAAATGTAACTTGAACAACAGATGGGAGGATGTTGTTTCCTGTTTATTTTAACCGACCTGGCAGAGCTGTACCAGTGGAACAACAGTCTGACTTTTTGACCCAAAAAATAATTATTCAACCATTTATCTGGCAAAGTGGATTGTCAGTGTCCATGCCAAATGTCAAGAGAATAATTTTAGACTTGTTCTTATAGGTGTCCTTCTCTCTCCCATTTTGAAGGACTTCCAAATCATCCTCCGATTTGTCAAAGTAAAGTTTACAGAATTTAAGGCTCTCCTCATTCATTCTTAAAAGCTGCATCACTTTAAAGGCCATATTTGCGTCCTGTGAAGTATTTCTATTTACAAGCAGATTCTGGGTTATTACTTATGCATGCTGCTACCGTCTCCCTCAATAATTCACGGTGTATCCGTACCAGGAGGGACGTGGCACGCATGGCCCTGAAAGCTCTACTCTCACACACTCTACTCTAAAACGTCATTTTATTTCACAATTCTGTGCAGAGAAACAGCGACAAGTGGATGAGTAGCATTATTACGATGCATTTGTGTCACTAATCAAGACTCTTTGTTTGGTTTGACTAACGTGTATTAAATATACAAGGAACTTCATTTAAACAAGACTATAAACCAATGGTACGATCTTGTAAACATTCAAGACCAGAGTGGAGATTTCCTGCCTTGCACTGACTGTAAGAGAGTTTTGTAAGAGACTGAGATGTAGAAGCAGGTTAAGACAGACAGTCGACCCCACCACTACTGACACTCTACTGCAAGCCACCGAGAAGCAATGGACGAACCACCAGGGGTTTGCTGTTGTTGTCTATGTTTACAGTATAAGGGATCTGGATCTGTTGCCCTCAGGCACAAACTGCATTCATGCATCTGTCATGATACAGTGGCCGGAGGGTAGAATCTTATAATATTGTATATCCTGATGGTATCCCGATATTTTTTAACAATAAATTATATCAATTAATCGTGATTAATTGTTATTGTTATTAATGGTTATTTTATTATATTTTATGATACAGCTGGAAAAATGTCAAGAAAATGATGAACGAATGTAACATGTTGGTTGGTGGATTTTAACTTTCATGTCTCACTTTGCTTTAGTCAGATCTCCTCGTGCTCTCCTCCCAATTCACTGCTGTTGATGTTAATGAAGGGAATATTTTACCAAGCTCATCCTGTTGCCTACTTCAGACTCGTGTATAACCCAGCCCAGATGTGTGCCCTACATGGCCCTGCTGTGTGGCCAAGTGCTGTTCTCCCACTGGCATGATGAAGTTGTGTTCAGATTCAAGCAGAAACTAGGACACTGCTCTGGCTGGAGTTTGGAGAAATGTTTCTAGTCTGTTGAACAGCTGAGCTCACTGCTCCCACTGTTCACGTCCACAGAACACGGTCACTCATGCTTCACATCTGTGTGCTGGTGTTTTCTTCTCTCTCCGGCTCTGCCAGGTTTGTACAACTCAGCAGACAGCTGGATGATCGTTCCAAACATCAAGCAGAACCACTACACTGTGCACGGCCTGCAGAGTGGCACCCGCTATATCTTCTTCGTCAAGGCCATCAACCAGGCAGGAAGCCGCAACAGTGAACCCGCCCGCCTCAAAACCAACAGTGAGTAAAGACACATGCTTTCCCTATGAATATTTTCAAGCCTTATTAAATGGATCTGGGTAATAAACACAACTCACCAGTGAAACAGAACATCGACGTCTGTGTTATAAAGAGTGTTTTTTCCAGGGAGCCACAGGTCATCGCATGCTTTATATTTCAGAATATCCCAGAAAATTTATCTTGTGCGTTTGGTTTTCTAAATTGTTTCCACACCTGTCGGGTTTCTCAGAACAGAGTCAACGGGTTTAATTACATGATCTGTGAAAGCTTCCCTGATTGAGGTTTGTCTCAAAGTGAGTCACATCACCCACAGGGGGAGATGTTGTCATGTTCAGCCTGATGTATTCAGTCGCTTCATCTTATGTTGCCCCCATCTGCACCTGTTTGTAGAGCGGACTATTGTCGAACCTCCCACACAGACATTTTCTCAGCTATTACTTTAAAACTTTACTGAACTTTTTTTCTAACACAATTTCTACAAAACAAATATACTTATTGAATAAATATATAATAAAAAATAGTAAAAATAGTATGTATTCAAATCTGGCCCACCGAACCTTCCAATCTGGCCCATGACTGGATTCCAAAATTGTCAAGATTAAAGAGAAAATATCATGTCGCCACTATAAAAGCAACTAAAAACAAAACAACTGAGATTTTCTCCACTGCAAATGATTCTGTTGAATTTACGTTTTCTCTTCTAATTTAATCCCAGTTTTTTTTCCCTTTTCCTAAAGATGTGTTGTTGCATACAGTACAGTAGTTCTCCCATTTCTGTTTTTCTTTATACCTTCTCTATTGTCAAACCGTACACAATATAGATTATGAGTGCAGCAAATAAAGGAGGCACAATAAAGTGAGGATGTTTTACTACAGTCATTCTGGTTTACCTGCCATTAATGTGAAAATACGCTAAAATGTGCTGCCTGAGGTAAACCTGAGGACTATGGTACGACCCAGGGTGACTGAGTTTCTTCATTTTTTTTAATGTGTCCTCAGACTCAGACATGGCACATTACAGTTAAATCCTTAGTGATATGGCTAATTTAGGATGTGGCCAAAAGTGCTCAATAAAATTTTAAATCTGCCTTAAACTGCAGGAGAAGCAGCGTCGGCAGCAGTGCAAAATCGTGGAGTTAATACATCAGCTCCTCATAGCTGACGTTTGTGAGTCTGACTGGTATTTAGGATTAACCATAATCTGGATACACTCTGGTGCATAAAATAGACAAACTGCTGTAGTCAACGGATGTCTCTCTCTCTCTGTCCCCCTCTCTCGCTCCCTCTTTCTCTCTAGATCTTCTTCTTCTATTAATTTGTCTGTTTTTCCGTCAAAGTAAATGTGTTTTTTCCAAAGAGGAATTAGGTGTTACTTACACATTACATTCCTAACTTTGACAAAAAGGAAATAACAAATGAAAAATAAAATTAAGGCGTTATTTATTGTTAAAATAAATTATAAATGAATACACATGTCTACAACATAGAAATTGGGTAAATATATACATAAGTATCGAGGATCAGAACCCATTACCTGATCCCTGATCTGGCCATTTCATAGATATAGCAACAGACTGTCCGCTAGGTTACAAATGCTACAAATACACCTGTCTCACATGTGAAGCAATCTTTTTAATTCCCCGTCACACAGTCTTGACATTGTTGCACGTCGCCGCCTTAACTCCTTTCTTATGGCATCAAAGCGGATTAGTGCCTCGGTGTGATGTGGGCATGACATGAAGCTGAGCAGCATTTAGAGGTGAAGTGCAGGGTATCAGGAGCTGGCAGTCCACAGACGCCCCGGACCCTCCGTCTCACTGACTGCATTATATACACCAACCCACAAGCAGCTCCATTTATAATGTCCAGCCCTGATACTGATAAACGATGGGTGAGTGTGAGTATTTTTCATCATCAGTCTCACCTCTCCTGTGTTACCCTCTCCTTCTTTGTCTCTTCCTCCTCTTTCTCTCAGACGTCTGTGCAGTTGAATCAAGATTTATAGCCAGATTTATATATATAAAAGAGAAGTTTCTGGAATGTTCCATGTTGTCTTTCACCATGCTACTGCATGTACTGTATGTAAATGTAAAAAGTCAGATCAGTCATATAATCATATTGAATTCACTCCTTTGGTCATTTATAATGAATCACATGAGTTATACTGTGCTGTGTTTATCAGCCGGAACACTGCCCTCATTAGGTGGCAGTAAGGCAGGCAGCCATTGAAAACCAAAGCACAGCCTCCAAGTAAACTGTTTTTTATATATATATATATATATTAATACATTTCTAATTAAAACTCTGTAAAACAGATATATTAGAATGTAGATGTAAGCTATGAAGTTTATGGTTTGTTAAACCATCTGTCAAAGGGTATGCTAATGTGCTAGTATCCAGTGGACAAACTCTACATGTATTATGTGTTGATGTGAATCTACAGTACCATTACAAATTAGGAATAAACTACATTTATATGAAACAATAATGCCATACCAGCACAATCACCTCAATCATCTAGTCTTTATGGCACTTAAGAAATTAAGAAAATAGGATTGACCAAATCTATGAAGATTCTCAGTCATCAACAGGCAACTGACCTAAAACTTCACATCCAGTTGCCTCACTGAACTTTTCAACCTTGATTGACCACATAATTGTTTTTAAATATAAAAAAACATATTATTCCACCACTTCTATAATTCTGTATATTGTTGATTCACTGTATAATGTTGTATCTTTTCTCCAACGCCACCTACTCTCTGTCAGCAGGACTGATCAGAGGGAATGGTATGTCCGCCTACAGGCTGGTTTGGTTGAGATTTCCAGCCTGTGATTGGCAACCATTGCTTTCTTAGTGCTGTAATGGTTTTTGACATGCTGTCAAAATGGCAAAGAAAAACCTCCAGAATGAAGTTGAAGAAGAGTCTGAGTGATTTTGTCATTTTTCGTCTTTATTTCTGTCTCATGTCCGCCTGCGTCCCTGCTCTACTGTCGAGATATCCAGTAAAAAGTCTCGTCCCTTCGTTACTCTATTATATCCAAATCAGGTATTTGGATTTCAATAGGACATTACAAACCTGAGCTTTCAGTTAACGTTGATAAGGCTTTAACCATACTTTCTGTCACTGTGTGAGCTCCTTTGTTGCATTTTTTCCGGCTGAGTAGTGCAAGTTTTTCCACGTACTTAAATTTTCTCTTTGTGTCTGTGACTGGATTGGATGGTTTTAGCTATGACAAGCTTTAGAACGAGAGACTCCGGGGACGATGAGCTTAAGCTCATCATATGTCAGACTCAGGTTGGCCAAAAAAAAGGATAGGAGTAAAAATACTCAAAAGTTGTACCTTGTACTGCTTGCGTTTACACCGAAACCCAAAGCAGAACCTCCAAGAATTTTTTTTTTATTAATAAATATCTATTTAAAAGTTTTTAGATTGTTGACCTAAGTCGGATGTCCATGGTCTGCAGGTCAAAGGTATTATGAAGAACAAAGTTGTTGGAAATTTCCAGTTAAATATATCAGCAGTTTCCCAGCTCTGTTAGCGTGTTGTTAACACGCAGCGTATCTAATTGACTTTGGCTCAGTCCATCTGTCAAGAGGAATGCTAATGTGCTAACATCCAGTGAACAAACACAAGTCTCCAAAACCCAAATATGTGGAGACTACAATCTTAGACATTTAATAAAACAATTATGTTGTACCAGCACAGGCAACTCACGTACAATCTTAGACATTTAATAAAACAATGTTGTACCAGCACAGGCAACTCACAAACCAAGGCTTTCTACTGTGCATGTCACCCCCTACAGGGTAGAAAGGGGAACTACAAAAAACAATTTCTTACTGTAAAAATTCACACAAAACACAACAAATCAGTCATCATTTAAACACAATATTATTCATATAAATATTAAATAAATGATAAAATACTGTCACTCAGTGTTTTTCTGTTTTTCTGCTCTGTTACATAACATTTTAACCTATATAACCATAACCTTTAAAGTCTGACTGCTTATGCAACAGAGTGTCTTCATCTCAAACTTTCCATGTTCCTCCTTTAACAACACCCCCCACACCCTCACTCCCCCCTCCCCTTCGTCTTGGCACTTTGTTGCTTCTTACCACTGGCTGTAACATATGCCACTTCTTCAATCTCTCAGCCATCTGTCACTCCATCCTGGAGGTAAAGCTCTTCATTTGAAGACACTACTACTGATGCTGCAGACATATGTGAGCGAGCTGCTGCTCTGTTTGTCTATTTAGCTTAATGTACAGGCTCCTCTGGCACAGAGCGCCGGGTTAGTTTATTGCTGCATCAGCAGCTGTTCTTCAAGGAGCCATCTTAGCTTCGACACGTTGTGTTGGCCTTTGTTATTTGTCTATTATACACAACCCAGATGAGAACTTTTGCTGCGTTACAACGTGTCAGACGTATTTGAAATGTTTAACTGAAATGTTTTTTTTTCAAAAAAAAACTTATATTATAACATCTGCCTTAGAAGTTTTCTTTCAATTTTTGGTATTTTTAACTATATTGGTATGGTGAATAAAACTGGAAATAATTTGTTAGAAGGATATTTTGACATGGTTCGTTGATAACAAAAAGTCTGCTGTGACTTTGATGGTTTTGCTGTAATTAGCGGAGACCTTTTCGCCTGCTCTCCGTCACGTCTCCTCGGGTTCTTTTTTCCAGTAGTCGCCCTGATTGAGACAAGATTTAAACTCCTGTTGTAAAAGTCTCACAGCTTTCACAGGCTTTTTAGGTCACTACAGTGAAAGCACTCACTAAACCCTGAGTGGCTGAGAGTGAAGAGTGGTGCTAATGCTGTGGTATACGGAGGTATCAGTCTGCCGTGGCTGCGCTCACAGCAAAAACACGTGAAGCAGCTTACTCACTTCTAAAACACCTATGAATTAAGTATGATGAGGAAGAGGGTTGTAAAGGAGGCACGTCTCTGTGTGTGTGTGTGTGTGTGTGTGTGTGTGTGGGTATGTTTG